AGTACTTCAGCGCTGAATACTGAAAAATGGCTTGACCAGGAAGGGGGTGTAAACACCTGGTCACCAAATGGTTAATATAGTTCAAGATATGGAGAAGGTAGATTTTTTTTAGGGTTAAGGATACAATATAGGAGAGGTGCCCTGAAGGGACCTTTATAATTTTAAGGCAAATTCAACATAAAAATGGAATGGAAGTCACTTGTCACTCAGAGGCAAGAAAAATTTTCTCACATATTGATTGTTTTGTGGTTTCAGGTGACTTTTTAGGGGCAGAACTAAAATAGGATTTTACAACATTGTACAGTCAGACCATGAACGGATATTGTTAGATGTAAAAGTGGGCAAAAACATTTTTAAAGATTTTACGGAGGTTTCCTATTGATTACAAGGTGCAAAAGGATTCAGAGAATTTATATTAACCAGACACAAGGAGATTTTGAGAGAGAACATTTCACATAAGGAGCAACCTACATTAATGTGGAACACTTTAGAGATGGCTATTCTAATTCTTATGAAACTAAACTGTCCAGGCTAGTAAAAAGGGATGCAAGGATCTCCAGGATAAAAGATAAAGATGATAAAACACATTTATCTCAGGACAGGGTAGAAAAAGTATTTAGGAACATTCTAAAAATGTGTATAACTCTTCGGAGAATGAGAATTATAATTGACACAGCTCTTTTAACCCCTTCATGACGAAGACGTACACTGTATGACTGGCCATGTACACTGTACGTGACGAGTTATTTAAGGCTCTGTAATGATCAGTGGTTACCAGTCATTAATGAATGGCTCAGTGTTGAGGCATTCATTAATGAAATAGTTAAGCTTTTGCAAACGCTTCTTTCTTTCATTAATGAAGGAATGAAGCCGTTGCATACAAATACGGGATTGCTAAATAGCAATCCCATATTTTACAGCTGAAAATAGCAGAGAGGTAGCAGAGTGAGTCACCTCTCTGCTATTCATTTTGACAACTCGATAGCCCGATGTTTATGCTACATTTCAGGCACAGAGATACAACGTATCTCTGTGCCTGAAATGTATCACTTATGATCGTCTATGCACGATTAAAGACCTTAGTGAGATCTGAATCTGAAATGCTGTCAGGATAAGTCACTAAAGTTATTATTAGCTGATCCTAAGTTTGGAGCAGGCTAAAAATAACAAAAAATTAAAAAAGTTAATTTATCAAGCAGTCATAGTGACTGCTTGATATAAACTGACAAAGTGTAAACATTTCTAACAAATTATAATCAAAACATGTGAAAAAAGTGTTTTCTTGTAGTTTTTTCCTCATTTTTTTAAATATTTTATTCAAACTAAGTGAGGTGTTAGGTACACATGTTTGATATTATATAGACCTATCTGTCTTCTAAAAAAATATATATAATATGTGTGGGTACATTTAGTAAGAAAGTATATGACTGCTGTGGAAGAATCACACAGCAAAAATTTTAAAAGTGTGTCAGTCATTTATGAACAGAAACTGAAAACTAGCTCAGTCATGAAGGGGTTAATCCAATCATCATTTATCCCAGCTTAACCTAACTTGTGCAAATTTAATTTATGAATTCCCCAATAAAGAAGGAAAAGTTTGAAGGATACCAGTCTGGGGCTCCCATTGTTGAAAGCACAAGGTCTAAATGGGTATATCAAGGAGCATTACTGTATGATGAAAAAATAGCTACTATATTGTTATATGAACAATGCATATTTTGCTAAAGGCAATCAATTCCAAAAGGAATTTCTGGCAGTCATATTATCTTTATAATAAACATGGGATGCACTGTAAATAGGTGGCGTCTTAATGACCTCTTTCACTTTCAAATACAGATTTGAAAATTCTGACAGCAATCATGGTAGGAATATTGGATGCGGGAATTGGAGATCTGGTGCATAGAGATCAGTCATGATTTTTCAGGACTGATGCGGAGAAGGCTTTTGATAACATTAATTGGAAACACATCGATAGTACAATGGGGCATTTGGATTCTCAAGGAATTTTGTGGACTGTATATGGAGATCATATCAAGAAGCAAGCACCAGCATGCTTCCTGACTTGTCTATGTTGTTATTAATCATCATACTATGAGGGATGCATTGGTAGAATTCGATTTTTGAGTGTAAGGGTCCACTTTAACCGTAATTGAGACATTTGGAACATTTGCTGGCTATCGTATAAACCCAGAGGAATATATGTGGTTGGTAGAAAATTAGCAAGCATTTATTAGGGGAATGGATTGTTCAGCAAAGTTGTACTATCTAGGTTTATATTTATGCCAAGAATGTGGGGGATATTTATCATCTACATTACCTGCCAGTAACTGAGGGAATCAAAGTTATTGAATAAATGGAGAGGATTACATTGGCAGAAATGTATGTATTTAATTCAGTCTATTTTACAACTAAAAGGGGAACAAACTGAGGAAGGTACTTTTTTTGTTTATAGTTATGATGTATTGTTTTAATCTGTGGTCACAATAAATGGAGTTTATTTATGATTATAAACAGTATGGGCCTCCAATGTTTTGGTTTGTGTAAATGATTCATGGTACAGGGGGACGAGGCACGTGGATCACCTATCTAGAGACCCTTTAAGGCAGTGTTGGTTGAGATTAGTTTAGTTTTGAATGAAGTTTGGACGGATCCAAACTTTTGTTAAAAGGAGCATTCGGACGTGTTTGAATTCAGAAATTCAGATGCATCCAAAATGCCCGAATTTAACAAAATTCATACGAATATCCATTCAGAATGAAAATTAAATTTACATGTTGATTGTTCAAAGTATCTCAAGTCTCAGCCACTAAAGCTTGGAACTGCTTTAGAGTTGTCATTGGTATGCACTAGGGTTGATTAACCACTTGCTGTCCGGAGCAATTTCTCACTATTTGCACACACGATATAATCTGAATTTTTGGCTTCAAACTCCCAAACAATGATATATTTTCTGAAAGCAGAGGCCCTGTAGAATTAAAAAATGCTAGTTGCAATTTTTTATGTTGCACAGTATTTGCATAAATGTTAATCAAACCAGTATTTTTAGGATAAATTAAACTGAAATTATATATAGTAAAATATGGCAAAATAAAATTTTGCAAAATATAAAAGAAGGGGTCACACTGGGTAAATAGATACCAAACATGTCAAGCCATAAAATTGCGTTTGCTTATGAAAGCCACAAAACACTTCAACACCCAATATTTCCCACAGGGGACACTTTAAAAGCTTTTACCACTCATCATTTTAGTGCTAACAGCGATTAATGGCTTTAGAATTATTGCTCTCACTCTGACGTTTGCTGCAATATGCAACATGCGTAGCACAATATTCGTAGGCGCATTGACACGTGCTTGCGTATGTATGTGCATGCACGTGGGAGGTGGGGGACTTTAAAAAAAATAATTTTGCTTTATTTCATAGGTTTCTTTAAATATTTGTATTTTTTAAACACTTTTTTGCGATCCGGAGGCAGCTGACTTTGGGAAGCTGCTGGGAGTCTGTTTACCTATGTAAACTGCCACCGACGTACTAGGCATGTCAGTGGCTGTTACAGCGTTAAGGTTTCTTTGGTTTGCCATGGTTATAGTGGATACAGCCTTGAGCTGGCCATACACCTATAGATTATCTGCAGATTTTCCCACTGGCCAAGCTTTAGAAAAATTGCTAGGTCGGCCCCACTGGCTCTCAAAATACCTGAACAATCTGATTGGTTGCAGGTATTGTTCAGGTATTTTGAGAGCCAGCGGGGCTGACTAGCAAAATACTGAAGCCTGGCCCAGTGGGAGATTCCTCCATCCACACTGTTTAGCATAGATGGAGGAATCTGTTGCACTTTTCCATCTGACCATAGAAAATCTGCAGATAATCTATAGCTGTATGGCTAGCTTAAGTCTGCATGTGGTGAGAGGAGCCAAGGTGTATAGGGAGGGTGAGAGCGAGCCGTTGAAGACAGAAGTAGCCAGGTCGGGACAGGACAGGGGTGAGATTTTGTGATAGAGGTAGTCAGTAGCAGAGAAGAGAAGGGTTGAGGTGGCGAAGGTTTCTCCGGGTGACAGTGCCGTGTAGGGGGATTCAGGGTTGGGGACAGGGCGAGTGTGAAACTCACAAGGTTGTGGTCTGAGAGGGGAAAATTGGAGTTGGAGAGGTTGCAAGGAGTGCATAGGTGAGAGAACACAAGATCTAGAATGTTGCCATCAGAGCTAGGAGTGTGTGTCCATTGTGTTAGGTCAAAAGAAGAGGTTAGTTTGAAAAGTTGAGTGGTAGCCAGGGTGTTAATGTTAGTAGCAATGTTGTTTATATTTTCTTGACTCGCATTTGCAGGCTTTGTTCATTTTTATGGACTGTTTAGAAGTTGTACTTCTAAAGCCCTGCCTTTCCAGGTCACAATACACTGTCCTTGGGGGGGGGGGGGTGTGAATTGCCGATATGAATACTAATTAAAGCAGTCTGCATGGATGTTAATTCCTCAAAACATTTTAAGCTTTAATAAATCTGTTTCTTAGGTAAAGAGCTTTGTATAAAATTCTTAACTAAATCATATAGGATGCGGAGGCATGTTTTATGCTTGACTTAAAATTTACTTAAAGTCAAATCTTCTTCCCTAGTTTAAAATAGAGTGGGGAAAGGCGAGAACCCCAGACAGGTTTTTACAGCTATGCAGGGCTCTATTAAAAGAGATTTAATCCTCACTTCCTGTCCTGCTGACATTTTCCCAGACGGGAAGTGAAGAGAAGCCTCCAGTTGTAAAGGCAGACATAAATTAAAATGCTTTATGTTGAGTAGGGAGAGTCTAGAAACCCTCTCAAATCTTTATCTTCTGTCTGTGGTGTTTTTACAGATTCTCCTTTTCCTCTTTACCATGTCAGTAGGACAGGAAGTGAGAGTAAAATCTCAAAAATGGAGTTCTAATCATTCCCTACTCTATCCAAACCCAGAAAAAAAGCCTTTGGCTTGACAAGCTTTAGGAAAGCTAGAAAAAAATGTCTTACACGCTGTACCTTTTATTTTCAGAAGAAAAATTCAACAGTGGAGTTCTCTCTGTATAAACAGAGTCTTTCATCTGGTTGAATACCTTGGTCAGCTTAAAGGGATACCTGAAAAAAACAAAACACACCATAATGAATGTGATGAAGCCGCAATTAAAGTGTAAAGTAAATTGACATGCAATAATATATATTAGTGAACACAAACAACAGCCATGAGTATCTGCACATATGTTTTCCTTATCTTGTGTTCCCCAAGATCCTCTGAACAACCTCAATATCAAAATGCTGACTTCCAAACAGTTAGCTCTGCCACTCCAACTGCCCCATTCCCTTCCATCTCTCTTGGTTGCTGAGCAATTTTTTGAGACAGGTAAAACAGCATGGCTGACATTCCACTTTAGCACTGGACACTGCCATATTGATGTTAAATGTCCAAGGTCTGGAAGCTCCCACTACACGGAAGACGGCTTTGGTAGTGCCATTTGGTATAGGTTAGTTTAAAGCAAAAAAAACAAACAGTCACAAGATTAATACATATGCTGCTATAGCTGACCTGTATATTTTTCCAAAGGACAATCACCAAAAACTAAAGTAGAGGAACAACAGGCAGCTAGAATGCTTCAGAAGCCTAAAATGGCAGCACATGTATTTCTTTCATGACAAATGTTAACAAAAGTAGCATATAAAAATCTGAAGCTATAACAGAGAAAATGCAAAAAGAAAACAAAGCCAAGCTTATAAGGCAAAGTAAACTGTACCAAGCACAGGAGCATAATTCATTGCTTTAATGTCTACATGATGCTAAAAATCTAACTGCTTGCTGTCAATTGCAATTCGCTACAAAATAATCACAGCATTTTGCAAAGCCTTGCTAAATAAGTCACAGCTATGTGCAATTCTACACAAACATGGTACCCCTGGAGCATATTTATTTACTATAGAAAATACGGTTAGCCAGATTTAGCAACTAAAATTGTTAAATCTCAGCCAAGAAAAAATATTTCAGATTTCAGTGTTAGAAATGCTAGTCTTTTTAACACCACACAACTCCTACTAGTACTGTATAGAAATGTAACAGCTAGGATCACTCAGTCAGCCCCCTGGAGAAACAGTTCCCCCTTTTTACCCAATAATAGTTCACGGATAGTAAACATTTTTAATGCAAAGTACTTTTGCAACAGGAGCACATCTTACTAACCAACAAGATGAATAATGAATGCAATAAATTGTAATAAGTCTTCGAACTCCCAACTGACCTTAATTTTGAGGGACTTTCACTCTTTTGGAACCCAAATCCTGTTGTCCCTCTTTAAAAAAATACTATTTAACTACCAGACATGTTACCACTCCTTTCATCAAAACTCTAAATAACTGTATTTCTTATTTTTAAAAAGGCAGTATAAAGGAAAAGCGAGTGGAAAAAAAAAAAGAAACACATGTTTGTTTAAACAGTTTGTGTACAAAAAAAAAAAAGGTTCCACTGGCCACCCAACAAGGCCGAATGAGCAGTAAAGAAAACCACCAAGGCACAGACAGACCATTTCTGCAGACTGGGCAGCTGGACAGGGGTTCTCTTGCAACATACGGGCTCAATTATGTTAGATATGGGTCAGTGCATACCTCCCAACTTTCCAGGATGGAAAAAAAGGGCACACCTTCCAGCACAATGTATTGAGGCAATGGACGCACCCCCAGTTATGCTGTCTATTTAGAATTGATATGCTAAAAACGATTACACTCAGCATTTTTTTTAAATCTTTTACCATTACTTTTCTATTATACTGGCTTTTCAAACTAGCAAACATAATTAAGAGATAGGATGAAGGTTTTAATGCAGAATAACACTTTTGGTATAAAATAGTACATTTTTATAAATATCTGTACATGACTAAAAAGGAGGGACAACTGAGCGGGAAAAGGAACAGAAGGATTTGGTTCCAATAAGGAACAGTCCCTCAAAATGAGACGGTTGGCAGGTATGGTCTGTGCTAAGGCGCACAACTATACAGTACTATTTCAATACTATCTCCCTGTACATATTTTTTGTGTCATAATGGACCGCATAAACAGCAAACAGTAGGACTGCTCCAACTGCAAGGGGATCATTTCTGCTGCAGTCCAAATGGTTAGATTACATCTATTCTATGTATAAGCACAGTATACGGTGTTCCTTTTAATATGGGGACAAGTGCATTGCAAGTGGGATCAATCATTTTTGCTGCTGTCCCAATTAATTTCTCCAAAGAAATGTATTGGACCGATTTATTGGACAGATGTCTTCTATTTCCTCTGCATTGAAAGAGAATGTGCACACTTGTTAACATGCGTTTTTTGGTCACATTTGATTTCACAGCAAGAAATCAGAGAAACCTTAAAGAGACTGTCATGAGAGAATCAGGGAGGCTGCCATTTTCTGGAGACCAGCAATGGCCCACTCATACTTCCCTCATTACAAAGTTACTTAAAAAGCTTATTATGTTCTTAATGACAAGTTTACATTACTGTGCTGTAACGTAGTCTGGTACAAAAAAAATCCAACATGTGCTTGTTAACATGTGTTTTTGGCCACATACGTAATTAAGTAATGCCAAACCACATGTGACATTAACAGCAGACACTATTTCAGGAAGAATTTGAGTTTGTCAACTCACAATATAAACAAAAATGCACCAATGCTGATAAAACATATCAACACATGTAATAAAGTGCATGAAGTGTATGTTTTACTGTTGTCACGAGTGGGATTTCTTTGGTTATTAGTAGATAGTGATCAGCCTGTGATTGGTGAAAAAAGTTCCACGGTGTTTGCCCAAGCCCTCTTGAAACTGTGACCGCAACCCCTCTGTGTTCGCACCAAGCCCAGGCTCATCACTATGCATAAAGAAAAAATCATTGCTGACCAACAGATCTGGACCTGGTTCGTACCACATGTCAGGCCCAGATAGTGCAAGGTAGGCATGGAGCCATCATAGTGAAAAAACACAACTAAGCTAGAATATAAGTAGTATAGGCACTACCATATCAATGCAATTAGGAGTTTTCTAACGGACTATGTGGTCCACACAGTATCCCAGACTGCAGCCCCTGTTTCTACATTACAACTTCTAAAAGCCACCATTTATCCTGTACTGTTTTATATGTGTGTAGCATCCTGTAAACGGGAGTGCTGTGAAATTTAGTTAGTTATTCTCAGACTGTAGTTAGTCTGAGATAGATCTGTAGTTATGTTCATCTTAATTCTCCAGAACAATCTATGGTTGTTACATCTGCCTGTTGCTGGGTGTGTTTCTGCCACAGAGCAGAGCAGCCAATATGGATTGTACTGATCATTTGTGTCTCCCAACCAATCACTGGAAGATACAGGCCAGTAATGCATGCTGGGAGAAGATATGATGCTCAGTGTGGCTGATGTAACAGTGAGTCTCCCTCCCCCAGGCCTCCCTAGGGGGAGTCTGCTGCTGATTGGCTGAACTGGCTAGGCCTGAAGTTTGGGGACTAGCCTTTTACTGACACTGAGGTCTGAATTTGGAGGCTCAGTGGTCAGCTGCGGATACTGGAGATGAACATGTACGAGGACTTCTGAAGTACTGCTTTGCCTGATGTTCTCTGCACAGATTGTCGTGTCTGGCTTGAAGGTCCTAGTCTGTGATGGCATCAGTTACTCTGTTCTATTGCTTAAAGGAGTCTACCTCATTCTGGATGTTCCTAACCCTGACCCTCTCTCCCTGAAGTTCAGCAATAAAAGAAATTCAGCTTTTATCTACTGTCTGGACTTTTCTTTGTCGGTCACCACTGGAGGTCTTAAGTGCTATTGGAGGCAGCCGGGTTGCTTAGAAATCCTTAGACAGGCTATGGAAGATCATTCAGCGGCCCTTGTGGGGGTAGCGCTACATGTACACTACTCTTCAATGTATTTAATGAAAGACAGGAATACCTAGGGAGTCGGGACAAATAAAGCATCTGGTTTAGTAAAAGCAATAATTTTGTTATAAAATAAAATGTACAGGTGTTTTTAAATTACAATTCAGAAAAAAGATTAGATATATAGTAAAGCAACTAGAAAAGCAAAGCCTATGATTCGCAAAGTTTAATGTGTAAATGAATTTGGTTTATAAATAAGAATTCTATATCTAAAACAAGAACTCATTTCAGCAGATGTAAATAAATTCTGCAGTCAAATTAGACAAAAGTTGACAATTAGTGGAGTCAATATAGTCTGCCATTTTTGCCTTAATTAGGTAAGTGACAGGTTCACTTTAAAGCCCATCTCTGGTTAAAAAAGTTTTACCCATTGTAGGAAGGAGGGGAGGGAAAGTGTGTATAGAGATTAGCTTTAAGATAACAGTTTACTCAATTCTACTGATTGGCTAGGTAAAAACATGCAATTCTTGGTTGTTACACTTGCATTAGTTTGTGTATGAACAGGGATATCTGGAGGCTGCACATGTATTTGTGTATAAACAGCATTACCTGAAGGTAAAGTATGAGGTAGCAGTTTTATAAGCAGTTGTATATTTTTTTAATCAAAATTGTTTTTATTGATTTTGCAAATGCATAGAAATAAACCAATAAAACAAAGAAAATTAAACACCACAACTCACACAAAGACTTGCTCAATACAACAAGTAAAACTCCAACCACGCTCATATGATATGATATAGTAGTATCACAGCTCATCCTCACAAAAGGTAAGTTGCATATTTAACTAGCAAAACAAAGCCAATTCTTGCCCTTTGCTCAGCTGTGACCATATAGACACATACCATCCAAAAATACAGAGATTTCATAATAGCTAAAACAGATATGAGGCTATTTTGTCCTCCTGAGGAAAAGCTATCCAGACCATGATTGTTCATCGCAAAGCAACTCCTACCTTTCCATTTGTCTAAAAGTGGTCAAATTCATGTTGCAGGTGCTATAACAATGGAAAGCAGCATGCACATCCATTTACGGTTTTGCACAAGGAGATAAAACACATTTACAAACACTATACAGCATAATCTTCAAAGAAAGTAAGCAAACTAAACAATGTTAGGTTCTACGTTGGTAACCTCGCAAAAAAAAAATGAATCACACTAGTTGATACAGGTGAGACAATTTAGCTGGAG